GGCCGGAGGAGGAGGTGGGACAGCATCCTGGCTGCATCCCGGCTGCATCCCAGCCACCAGTGCCCCCCTGCAGTTACTTGCCCAAGTTGCCCATGTTCCAGCGAGACAGTGGTCGGGAGGTTCGCTCCACCACCCTGAGCTGTGCAGACAGACAGACAGCCCCGTCGGGACACGCTGCTCCTTGGCGTGGCCACCCCATTGTTTCAGAGCTGAACTAGCCACACGGTGCCCGGTGCTGCTGCGCTGCCTGCACCGCAGCGCCTGCCAGGAGCCATCCCCTGCCCAGCCCGAGCAGGGAAGCAGAGGCAGGGGAGCGGGATGCTTCTGTGCATCTCTTCAGCAACAGCTCACGGCTCACATTTGGCCATGGCTCTTGTCTGGATGCAGCCAACAATGCCCTCCACCTTCGGACGAGCAGGCAGCATGGCGAAGAATTTGGCCACCAGCAGCCCCCTAAGGAAGGAGGAATCACCTTCACTCCCTCCTGCCTCTCACCCTATTTTTGGAGGTTCAGGGATGATCCCAGACTTGTTTTCTGCTCCCTGAGGGGGACCCTGGGCGGGACTGCGGGTTTCAGAGTGAGCAAGGCTGCACAGGGTCAGGGTAGGTCTGACCCAGGAGCACGTGTTTAGGGCACGTGTTTAGGCCTGGCTGAGCTTTGGTTGAACAGGAGCCATAAAAAGTCATCCCTGTCTTCCCCACCTCACACCCAGCAGCTTGCAGCTCCGCCATGGCCCCACCGGAGAGATTCCTCCCTGAAATGCCGCTTGCGCAGGATGATTCCAGCGGGAACCTGTTGCCCAAGGCTCAAACTGGGGAGGAAATCCCCTGTTCCTGGTGGGATGGATGAGGTTGCAGTCTGCGCTGGGCTTTCCGGGTGGAGGCGAGAGGATGCTCTCCCCGACGGCTGCTTCCTGAGGAACCGGCTCACGGGCAGCTGGCAGCAAAGGCAGCCGAGTCAGCAGGCAGCACCACAGCGTGCCGGCCCTCACGGCCTTCCTGCTGCCCCAGCAATCCAGCCGCGTCCGGGAAGAGCATCCGAGGGATGGGGACAAGCCGTGGGGAGCTGTGCATTGGGTGGAGGGCGCCCTGGCCATCACCAACCCCCCTGTTCTGGGGGTCTGGAGGAGGAAGGAAATGCCGCAGAGCTGGGAAGGGGCTCAGCATCCGTCAGAGGGGCTCGCCTGGGGGGGTGGCAACAGGCAGGGGGAAGCAGTGGCCAGGCACTGGGGATGCGTCCCCAGCTCTGACGTGTGGCGTCTGCTCCCGTCACCATCCCCACTGAGCTTCCACCATGCCCCCAGCTCGGGGCTGTCTTGGCTGGACTCGGAGCAAGCTGCTCTTATCTCTGTCCCAGCTTCCCGGCGATAAGGGTGGCATGTCTGGACATGAACCGGGCTGCCTGTCCCCCTGGTGCTGCTATTTGTCACCAAGCAGCCACAGCCACAATGAATTCAGCCCGGTCGGTCTCTGCAAGCAGCCCCCCAGCTCCTCTGGTGCCCGGGGCTGGCACCCACGGGACCAGGCAGGAGCCCATCGCCCGTGGGCAGGGCCCAGGGAGGGGATGCACGGCTGAGCAGGGCACTGCTGGCAGCAGGAAGGTGCATGGAGGTTGTCCGGAGCTGTGGGGAGGGAGAGCTGTGGTGGGACGCACTTCTGCCAATGTCAGGGGTCCCTGCCCAGTGTGGCAGAAGACTCCAGAAAGTCCTGTCACCCCAGTGTTCCTTCCCTACCAGGGACCCCGTCCTCAATGCATCCATCCCCCCACTCTACCCAGCAGGACTCTGCTGGGAGCATCCCCGTGGGCAGCCCTGGCAAAACCCACAGCTCCCTCCAGCCCTGGGAGCATGCTGGGGTGCAAGAGCTGATTTTGCTCCAAGCTGGGGCATTTGCTCCAGGATCAAAGCCAAAGGAGGAGACACAGGGTGTGGGGTGCTGATAGCACCTTCCCCTTCCCAAGTCCCATCCCGCTGCACTTGGCCAGCTGCGAGCACAGGCTCCACCAGCTGTGACAGGGCAGGGGCAGCGGGGAAGATGCACAAAGCCCCAGTACCCTGTTTTTCAGGCACGGAAGGGAGCTAGGATGGTCTGTGAAAGCAGGAGAGGTGCAGGGTCAGCACGGCAGCCAGCAGCCCTCCCTGGAATGGAGGAGCCAGGAGGCTCAGAGGGGATCCTGGGAGATCACCGGACCTGCCATGCTTTGGGAGGTGGCTCCTGGGGAGGCACAGAGCAGCCAAGTCAACAGCCCAGAAGTTTCAGCTGGTTTTAATACTGTCAGAGACACCCCGGAGCGGGGCCACCGCCGCCATCCCACCCAGGCTCCCTCGGCGCTTGCCGAAGTGAACCCACCACCAGCCCAGCCCCACGACCACTTCGCACCCCAGCAGGTGGGGGAAGCATCACCACCAGCACCGCTGCCCGGACACCCTGCCTGCACTCCCACTTGCTGGTGCCGGGTCTCACTCGTCTCCTACTGCTAATCCCGAGGGCTCGAGCATTGCAAAGAGGCTCCCCTCCACCCCACAGAAAGGGAAAAAAAACAGGTTACAAAAAGGGTCGTGGCACAGCTCTCTACCTACTGCATTTGGGTGGTTTAATCACCACCTTTCCCATCTTTTCTCTGCACCCTTGTGGCTACAAACCATCTCTCCCCCACTATCAGATTGCAGCCCCCCTGGTCACCACTTGGCTTTGGGGACAAGGGACCTCCAGGCACCCCAAACTGCAGCAAGCTGGGGACGGCGGCCATGCTGGAGGACGCTGGAGTTGGCACCCCAGGAAGGGGAATGGGCAGGCCTGCCAAAACGCCAGCCACGGCGCCTGCCGGGAGCACCCAGCGGGTAGAGCCACCGGCAATGGGGACCCGGTGCCTCTCGAGAGGAGCCATCTCATCACTCCCCTCGCACTATGCGGTGCTGACACCGCAGGCAAGGAGACCCAGGGCCTGGCAAAATGGGCAGGGGACAACAGCCAAGTAGGTTTTTCAGAGCCTCTGCTTGCAGCCGTGCAGTGAGCAGGAGGGCCATCGGAGACTGCGAGCCCGGGGTGCCTGCCCTAAGCCCCCCAAAACTGTTGAGCCCTGAGCCTCAGTGCGGGCAGGGGACTGCTGCTGGCTGCAGCCTCTCTGCTGGAAACAGAAGGGAAAACAGGGAGAAAATTTGTCTTCGGGCACAGCTGGGAGGATGCAGCCAAGCCCTGGGTGCAGGATACGGTCCCCCAAGGAAGCCCCAGTTGCAGAACAGAGTCCCCCAGTCAAGCCCCAGTTGCAAGAGGGGGTGTCACCCCTGGCTAGCAGGGCGAAAGGGCCGGAGCCGTCCCCACATCTCACCTGCAAGGGTCCCGTAAAGTGCAGTGCTGCGGCCCCAGCGCCAATGCAGGGCAGGGGAGCCCTCCTGGCCGCCTCCCGAGTTTGGGGACGTGGAGAGGGAGGTGTGAGGTTGGAGCAGGAGCAGGCAGGGGCAGGCAGGGTGCGGGCCGGGCGGCGGGGAAGAGCAGCCCCATCCTTCCTCCCCGGGGCGCCTACTCGTCGCAGCCCAGCAGCTCCACGCGCAGGGTGATGCGGTTGTGCCAAGCCACGGGCAGGATGCGGACGAAGCGGGCGTAGAAGGGCACGTCAAACACGTTCTTCTTGTGTGAGTAGTTGTCGCTGTTACCGTGGAAGATCTTTCGGGGGAAAGGTGGGTGTCAGCACCGCCGGGACCTCCTCGCCACCATCCCATCCCTCCCCACAGCGGCATCCCCGAGCCCCAGGAGATCGCTGCCCACCTTGCCCTGCCCCACACACCTTGGTGCTGTTTGTCTGGCCATCCCGGTAGAGGGTCCAGGACGTGCCGTTGTCACTGTAGGCCACCTTGTAGGCTGCCACGTATTGGATGTGCCCGAAGTCGCGAGCTCCTTGCGTGATGATGCCCGTCACCTTCTTCTGGTCCCGGAGGTCGATCTGGCACAGAGACAAGGCTTGTCGAGGCTCCTCACGGGAGCGATGCTCCCACCCCAGAGCATCCTGTGTGTCCCAGAGGCAGCCAGCATGCGCTGGCCCTCAGGGGCCAAGAATGGAGAAAACACTGCTCGACCCCCGCCCCCATGCGAGAGCAACTAATAAAACACGACTGCGAACTATTTGACCCTTTAACACTCACAGCATCCCTCGAAGCAACCCAAAGCAGGACACAAACCCCACCGTCTCAGCTCCCTTCCCCAACGATGCCACCTCGACATTTTTTGGTGAAAAGGTCAACGTGGGAATGACAGCAAAAAAAAATCTCAATTCGAAAAAAAAAAAAAGGATTCCCGGAGGAAATGCGTTTCCACTGGAAAGTGATTCCGGCTGAGAAAATATGCAGTTCAGCACGGTCTGACATTTGGGTTGTGAGATGGTTTCTATTCTCTTTACTCTGCAACACTGCACTACTGCTGCTGGCACGCTACAGGGTAAACCAGCAAATGAGCTGAAAGTCTCCTTAATTTAGTTCCTATTTTATGCTTCTGGAGGGCAGTACGTAGCTATACGTATACACATATATTTGTATATATATGAGTACACATGTAAATCTACGTACACACCCACAAACAGGCAGCCTGCGGTGTGACAGCCCAACTCAGTGTGTCATCCTGACCCCATCAGAAGAAGTTTTGATAAGCTGGTTTATTTAGGGCCATGAAGCAGCTGCTTTTAATCATTTCCCAAATAAAAATCAGGGAAATATCTAAACTGCTTTGTCCTATTATGTCATGAAATCATGTGAAAAGTACAAAAACAGGGGAGGAAAGGAAACTGAGAAGGAAATTTCAAAACTATTTGTTCCCATTCCAGACTGGGAAAAGAAAAGCAAACCTGATTTTTTCCGGCAAAACAGAAACGGAGTGTTCTGGGCAGCTGGAGGGTTGTGGGACAGTCATCCCGGGCTGGGATGGCACTTCCCAAGGGGGTGCTGCAGAACTGGGGTGCTGCACCCCACAAGAAGGTTTGCAGAGATGGCACCACCCTGTCCCTACAGGCACTGACGTTCCTGACCCACAGCTCCAGCATCGCTATTAAACCCGGTGGCTGCGGCCCCATCCTGACCTGCCCCTGCAATCCCAGCTCGGGCAGAGCACCGCCGGGCTGTGTGCCCCACGGCAAGGCTCCGGCCACACCGTCCCGGCGGCTCGGCCCGGCCTCTCCCGCTGTGCCTGTCCTGCTTCCAGCCACCCTGGCACAGGAGGTGGCCCCGGGCACAGCTGGAGGAGCCAGGGAGGAGAAATGAGGTTACAGAGGGAGGGCACCGAGACCCACCTGCAGCCACTCGGACTGGCCGTTGTGGAGTGCTGTCCAGGCGTTGGTTTTGCCCGTCTTGTCCAGGCGAGCGTAATGGGGGTACCAGGTAAAGGCGTCGATGCCCCAGGTCTTGAAGACGCTGGAGGCTGTGATCTGCTGGTCGGAGATCAGGCGGGATTTCATGCCCAGAGGCTCCGAGCAACCTGCCGTGTTGAAATACACTGTAACACAACGGTTTATACAGGCGGTGAAAAGGAAAGAGTCCACAGCACCGTCGCAAGCAAAACCCCGCAGCCCCGGCAGGCATCATCCCCACGTTCCCACATTCCCACTGCCCGGAGAGGCAAGCAGGGCCAGGCAGGGAAAGGCTTGGCAGAGGCACAGGGTCGCAGCTAGCTCGCCTTTTCCCAGGATTTTTAGCTCCCAGCTATTCCTTGGCTCACAGTGCCTCCTGCTGCAGAGACACACATCCCCGCCACACAGCCCGGAATACAGACGGCT